CCAGACCAACCACACCCCCATACTCCCCGCCCTCTGCTCGGGAGACCTCTCTGCCCCGGCCCCGCGGCCGCGCGCTGACCCTGGGCCGGCTCACCGGGCCCGCCCCCTTGGAGCCCATCCCCGGTCGCTCTCCCAGGCCGCGGGGCTGTTTCGCAGCTCGGCCCCGGTTCCCAAACAACCCGTTGCCCGGCCACCTCTCTACCCCGCTTCCCCTAAGCAAACCCCCATTCTGTCCATTCTCTCAGGGCTCCCGCTTCAGCTCCTGAGGAACGCCTTGTGGGTCCGAGGGTCTACCTACCCGCTGGGCTTCTGGAACTGAACGTAGGAGGGACCCAAAAGAGGCCCCATCTTCCTCGCAGGATTAAAAAAAAAACAAAAAACAGAGAGGAGCAAGGCCCAGAGGAGCAAACTCAGACTCTTGTTTAGACAGCACCAGTCCCAAGAAGAAGCTTCCTCCCCTGAGAAACATTTGTTGAGTTCCTTCTGCAGGCATGGCCTAGTGATACAGAAGACAAGAGCCAGGAGTGCCTTCCATCCTCTCTAGGACAGATAAGTGAACGTGTCCAGAAAGGGAGAGAACTTGTCTAAAGACCTTTCTCTAGAAACCTGCATAGCACCACTACGCCATGGGTGTGTTTCCTGGTAACTGTGCAAGGTGCAGATCATGCCAGACATAATCCTCACAATCATGTTCATTCATCTAACACATCTGTGTTGAATATCATACCAGGCACCATGCTGGGTACTAAAGATATTCAATGAGATGCAAGATGCAACCGATCCCTGCCCCACTGACTTCCCTTGGGCTTACAGTCCACAGGGACAGATGGACAGATGTACATCATAACGCATCCCAGTATGCAGCATTATGATCCCTAATTTACAGATGCAGAGCTTAGATTAAGTGACTTTCTCAAAGCCATCTAGGGAGAAAGTGGATAATCCCAAGACTGTAAGCCTTTCTTCAGATTCCACATCCTGTGTTCTTTTTCACTGAAGCGGGGAGTGTTGGAATAATTTACAAAGGTCTTTGAACTTCAAGATAGGAAATGTGGCCTAAGTTTTATGGTTATGAACAGCCAAGGAGGGTGTCAAAATAAGGGTGAAAGTCACCCCAGGATAGGCACAAGATGGGTGTGGATGGTTATGCTGGAAGACTTACTGCCACAGCCCTAGCAAAGGTAATGAGATTCTGAACAAAACAGGGACTATGGGTATGGCACAGAATGTTTTCCATCTACTGAAACCTGCTAAGTTTCTGTGTTTCATCCATTCTCCCATTTTTTTTTTCCGAGTTGGAGTCTCACTCCGTCGACCAAGCTGGAGTGTAATGACACACTCACAGCCACTGCACCCTCCACCTGCTGGGCTCAGGTGATCCTTCCACCTCAGTCTTCCAAGTAGCTGGAACCACAGGCGAGTGCCACCACACTTAGCTAATTTTTTTGTGTGACTGAAACGGCCATTTTATTTTATGTATATTTTACCACCGTGAAAACAGTTTTAAAATGTGAAATTAAAATACATGATAGCAAAAATAAGGAAGGTAGAAAAGAGAGTACATTGAAGAGTGAAAATGTGTTTGTTCCTTATTCAGGGAAGATGGAGACATTGAACACATTTTATCACCATTGAAAGAATACTTATGTAAGAATGTCTGCTAAAATTGTACAGATAATCACTAAAAGAGCAGAAATACATTTTTCTGGTCTCAAAATGAACAGAAAAGAAACAAAAGAAAACAATGTAAAAAGTCTCTGAGGATTATCAAAGATGGATGTCAGGAAACAGAGACTATAAATTAGCTATGACTTAGGAGGTGAGACAGGGTCTTATACATTTGCTCTCAATGTCCCTTCTGGTCTTGGTTCCCTGCTCAGCTAATTTTTTTATTTATTGTAGAGTCAGGGTATCACCAAGTTGCCTGGGCTGGTCTTGAACCCCTGAACTCAGGCAATCCTCTTGCCTCAACCTCCCAAAGTGCTGGAATTACAGGCTTGAGCCACCATGCCTGACCTGCACTCTTTCATATTAAATAAGGGAAAGGAACCACCAGTTACTAAACTCCTACTAAGTGCTAGGCAATGCCCGGGAAATTTTTTGTATATTACCTTATTAAATCCTCCACAAAACCCTGTGCAGTAGGTACCTTTATTAGCCTTATTTTACAAATAAGGAAACAGAGACTTCGTGCGGTTGAATGACTTGCTAATGTCCACAAGGCAAGCTAGTGTTGGAACTGGGGTTCCCATCCAGGCCAATTTTTTCTTGATTTATTGTAGAGATGAGAGCTCACCAAGTTGCCCAGGCTGGTCTCGAACCCCTGGGCTCAGGCAGTCCTCTTGCCTCAGCCTGCCAAAGTGCTGGGATTGCAGGCGTGAGACACAGTGCCTGGCAAGAGGGGATTTCTATTCAGACTTTAAAAAAAAGAAGGA